TAGGTCAGTCACAATCAGTTCCAGTAAGTCTTATTTTGGAATCTTTCTGTAAACATCTTATCTGCTCTATTCAGTCTTGACTGACATACCGTTGTTTTATACATTTCTCTTTACTTACACAGACTCCAAATTCTATTCACGTTCAGTGGCACCAACTACCATATCAACTTAACCTATCAAAGCTGCCTAATCATTCAAACCTATAGGGTCACAGTGTAAAACAGAAGCAAATTTGATGTGGCCATAGAATTGTTTTCTGTTTCATGTACACAAGTTTTATTTTTCTCAAGTAGATCTCAGGCATATAAAATCTAGAAATATGTATTCCTTTATACTCTATGCACAATATTTTTCACTCAGATCCCCAGGAAAAAAATACAAATTATGTTAAGATCCAGTATGTATGTGTGTGTGTGTGTGTGTGTGTGTGTGTGTGTGTGTGTGTGTGTATAAAATGTGCTCTGGTGTTTTCTATTTCATTCTATTTCATTTTCTTTTTTTTTAAATTTAACATAGTAGCTGTGACCCACCAAATTGATTTTATGACCCTAAATTGATTTTCTCATGGGTTTCAACCCACAATTTGAAAAATACTTCTCTAGCATTGAACACAGATACAGGGGTCAAATAAAAAATAAATCCATTTGCTAATTGATCTGTTTAATCAGAATTTTACTTCCAGCCACACAGGAGGAAAGGCCTTTGGACTTACAATTTAAATTGCTTGATATATCAGAAAAATACAAAAATTAAAAGAAGTTGGGTCATTCTTCTTAGGATTGTGATTTTTATCATTCTAAGGTCCAATTCTTTATTCTCAGTGTGAACTGGAAAACGAGGGAAAGATGGAAGGAAATGACGTAGTTGTGTTGTCCCAAGTCAAATCTTCACAAGGTTATTTCTTTTGATTCCTTGAAGTGTTTTGGTGGGGCACATGTTCAAATGTGGGTGATCTGGACATGCCTGGATATCCTGACTCCTGCACTGTTTTATGAGTGGATAATTACAATATTTGGAGTTGGGAGACACAAGGAGGAAGTGGTTGATTTTTCAGTGGTGGGGATGGGAAAATTACCATCTGGGGTAGTGTCAGGAGGATAAGATGCAGTGATTGCTAGAACTGAAGTCAAAAAAAGATGAGAAGGGTCAAAGATAATGTCATTATAACTAGTTTACTTGTAGTGACAACCAAACCAAACAACAACAAAACAAATAAAAAACAACTCTAGAAGGTGCAGGGCCTACAAGTTTGAGAATGAAAATAAATGCATTTGGCTTTAGACGTGCCAATGTCAGAGTTCATTTAAAGTAAACTATTTTGGGAAAAATTTGCAAAATCAGTGGAAGATAAAATACAGTGAAAGTTATAAAATTGGTTATAAAATTGTGTTGCTATAAAATTTTTATATACTATCTCATATAATTACTTCTGAAACTGATTTAAGTTGGCTGGAATATGACTCCAGGTATTCAAATCTGGCTCCAAGAATGTAAATATCAGTAGTGATAAATGGGAGTGTGTGAGATACTGAGAGCTGACTACAGGTGTGACTGGTGCAAAGGCCTTGTTTAGCCACATTATTAATGAGCTAGAAGAGGAAATGAGCAGATGATACATAAGCAGGATTTGAAGAATAACACAAATAGAAAGATGAGAACAAATTTACATTATATTTGGAAGATAACTATATTCATGGGTAATTAATAAAAGACACATTACAGCTAAAGGGAAAAGTCTGGAAAACTACAAAAACAAAGGAGGTATATGGTATAAATAGACATCAAATTAGACTTATTTTATAAAAAAATAAAACTGACATTAGTCTCTTATGAAAAGATATTTTTTCCAAAACAGTGCAGTAATAAGATTTTTCCCCCACAGTGCTTAGGAGTATTAGTCTGAGTAATGTAGAACATTAATAATAATTGTCAAGAGATATGGAATAACGTGCAACAAAATATCTGGTCAGCTAGGCTGATTAGTGATGTTCATGTCTTTGAAAACTCATATGAAAGGCAACATTTTCTATCATAACTGTGCAGCTCTTGAATTAAAATAAAATAAAATAGGGCCAGGGATTTGGCTCAGTGGTGCTGCTGCCTGTCTGGCAAGCACAAGGTCCTGAGTTTGATCCCCAGTACCAAAATAAATAAAAATATAAATAAATAAATAAATAAATAAAATTGAATTGTTAGACCCATGGGTCTTACCTTTCTTATAGCATTTAGGTAGCTGTGTATGTCCAGTAAGATGTTGCTAAGGTAAGGGCTACTGTCAAAGTAATTTTCCTTTTTGACCATATATAATGGGAATTATTGCTAGAAGCAATTTTTAAAAATCAGTTTCATTAATCTTGATGTATAAACTAAATAACCTTTTCTCATATTTGCTCTATTTTTCTTTTTATATGTATCTTTCTTCAGATTATAAAGTGGTATTTATTGTAAAAAATGATAAAATATAAAAGTATATATAATTTAAATTATTCATTGTATCATAATTTAGAACCACACAGAGTTAACCTTTTAGTGTTTATTTACCTAGTCCATTTTCTATGCTCAAACAAAATAAAATTGGGAGCACACTTCAAATATTATTCTGTAAGCTTCCTTTTAATTTAATAATAAATGAAGAAAAATTCCATGCTATTAAGTTGTCTCATAACATGATATTAATAGGTACATAGTATTCTATCACATGAATATGCCATATTTTACTTAACAGCATTTTTTTGAGGGGGTACTGGGGATCGAACTTGGGACCTTGCGCTTATGAGGCAGGCGCTGGAACCACTGAGCTAAACCCCTGGCTTAATAGCATTTTATTTTGCATATGAGTTGCTTATAATTTTTAGCTGTTATAAATAACAATGAATAACATCCTTTCACATAAACTTTTGCTCACATGATCTATTGTGATCAAAAGGGTATAATACGCAATATAATTTCTAGGAGTGGAATTATTGAATCAAAGAGCATTACTGCTCTTTTATAGCATTGAATATGTATTCTCCATATTCCTTCCATAAAATGTGGACCAGGGCATGAAGTGCTTGTTTACCTTCTCCCTGGCTGGAAGGTTACAGATGGAGGAGGACATGTTTACACACAGCTAACACAGTAATAATGTCTGACAGGGCTAGTGTCCACCTTTCCTCAAAGTATTTTCTACTTTTGTTGTAACAAAAATTAGATATCCTATCTAATGCATACACATTATAGCTAAACTTTGAAGGCCTGTTACTGTTTTCACAGAAAATAATATTTAAATGAAAAAAACTTCCATGTTTGACATTTCAAAAAGAATCTATGCCTCTGTACCAGGGTCAGGGCCATGCAGTCACAGGGTTAAAATCTTAAGATAAGAGGCTTGAGTGTGGTCTAGGAAGTAGGTTGATAGATCCGACCACCAGCATATCTTTGGCAAAGGTGAAGGCAATGCAGAAAAACGTAATTTCTGGTGGAAATACTGTTCAGTATGGCATTTAAAATTATTAGGGTAATTGGCAAATGCTTCTGTTGAGAGGATAGATAATGATTCTTAATAGGGTTCTGTTCAGGTCTCCTCTACTTTTATATGAACCAAATCCTCTGTCAAGCTGATATATTCCATTGTGTCTTTTTGGAGATATTATCTCTCTCTTTTGTCATGAAGATGACATCTTCTTTTATCTATATAGCTGATACTATCAAAGACCTCCCATTTCTCCAGTGACATCCCTGTGATTCTGAAGATGAGGAAGGGATTGAATACATTTTAACATTTCAGTCTACTTCTTTTCTGTAAAGTGTTTGTTTGTTTGTTTGTTTGTTTAGTTTGAGGCTGGTTGCACTACTAGCAGACCCTGCCCAGTTATTCCCTAATCCTCTTTTTTGTAGACTTCCTCCAGCCTCTAGTAGAAAAAAAAAAAAAATCTGATTCTCAGAGGATGGTTACATTTAGATCCAGGCTAATTTGAAAAAGCAAAGATTAGGAATTGAGACATGATTTCTAGTCTCAAGTTTGTCACAAATTGTTTCTATGACTTCTGGCAAATCACAGTTACTCTAGATGAGGTTATTTAACTGTATATTAAGGGGTTTGGTCTCCATTGATGGCTTTCAAACCAAGATCCTGGGCCTTTTCCAGAGTGACAGAACTTTGAACATTGAAATGGGGTAATGGCCTTGCATCTCCCAATGCTCAAAAAAATAAGATAATGAGTAGATGCTTTTGGTCCTCAATTTAAAATGCTTTTTACTGTTACATTTTTATTAAATATTTTTCTCATTTTTACACGTAGCCACATTAACCTATGAAAAGTACATATTAATATGTTGTAAATAATTCTCATTTGAAGTATTTAGAAACAGCTGAATTCTCCATTTTTAAGGACATGTGTGCTCTTGGTAGTGATTTTAAATTATACATATATAGTCATATCATCTTTAAATAAAACTGTTAGTTCAATTGGTATTAAAAAATATCAATAGTTATGGCATTCCAGAAAGAATACCATGACTTCCAGCTGTTTCCCATGTGAGTAGGTTTGAGAACCACTATTCATATGTGTTTGTGGTTGTGACTTCATATTGTATAACATAGCTATAATTTCTTCTGGCAAAATTGCTCTCAGTTCATATGAAATTAAATATATGAGGATTTCATAATCTATTACAAAGAAAACCATGTATTTCCAGATGCTTTCCATCTGGCCAAGTTTGAAGATGGTGAGACGTTCTGTAAGTTCTCTCCCAAATGTTAAAAAAATTCTTCATTTAAGTCGTTCATTCTGCTCACCAACCAACAGTGACTTCAGCTGGTTGTAGAGGAAACATCCTTCCAGAGATTCACCAACTGCCACGACCTTGTTCCTGTGACAAATTCCTCATTCCATAGTAATTCCACTTCCAGATGGAACTTTGTGTGCTCCGTTCGCCAAGCTGTTTGCTCCTCACCTTTGCTTTAAGGTAAAAAAATGGAGTGTGAGGGAGAGAATGCATAAAGCCTTTTCTCTCCCAGCACAGGGCAGCCAGTTGTGCAAGTGGTCGTCCTCTCTGAAGAGCCCTGCTGGCTGATAATGACTCACAGATTGTCTCTTTGAAGAAGAAACAGTTTGGATGAAATGGATAAAAAGAGAAAGAAAATATATCCTTAAAAAAGGTAATTTCTGCCCCCGGCTTTGAATTTATGGCTTATACTTATTCGTTTCCAAAATGCTGCTTCAGTTTGGTTGTGTAATTTTTATGGTTGCTAAAATCTCAGAAACTATAAAGATCCACGAGCATTTTAGCTAAGTCAGTGATGATTAGGATAAGCTAATCCATCTAAACGTGACTCAGCTTCTTAGCTGTGTTATAAAGAAGGAGTTGAAATATATCAAGGCTTATGCAGGTCATGACTTTTTTTTCTCAAGGAAACAATCACAATAAACAGGAGTCTGTCCTCAAATTTCTGAAAATAGGCGGTGGGTATAACTACCCATGACTAGGAGCTCAAATGTCAGACGTGCCTTTACTTTCAAGGAAGCCTGGAGTCTGGTGTTCCTTTTCCAGCTTTGAGGGTTGTTGCTTCTGTGTTACTCTTAGCACCTTTAGTAGTCAGATGCTGAACTTGACCCTTTGTTATAAACTTGACTTATTTGTCTCTCAACTTTCATCATTTTATATACTAGGCTATTTATTCAGTTAGTAACTTTTTGCTTACACTTGAGTATATTTACTGTATTTCATCACATGTATTATGTGATATTATCCATTGGAAGATACACACTTTAACACCAAAGAAACAAACAAAAACAATTACCACCTAAATTATGACACAGTGCCTTCTTGTCTTAGATGTCTTATTTTTAACTTATTGAAAGTGCTTGTTTTAACTCCCCTGGGACATGGATGAGTTCCTCAACAATTTCCCACCCAATGTATGAAAGGAGTCTTACAACTCTGCAGCCAAAGGTTATGGGCATTTATGTCCCTTTGGGTCACAGCCCAAGTCAGTCCTGCTGCAGCTTGCCGAGCAGGCTGCCTGTGTGAAACCCTGCGTTCTAGGTCAAGGCCTCCTAGACTAAGGTGTAGGGGAAGAGGAATGGGACAAGGGCCTGCAAGGCCGGCTGGGGAGAACTGTGGCTGGGCAGCGCCGACCTTATATGTAGCTGCTTAGCTCTGCTGTGGGGAAGAGAGCAGCCTGAGGCAGCAAGAGCTGAGACTGTGGGCATGTCTTTATTCCACGGATATCAAAATAGGAAAGAAGGGCCAACTTAGACTCAATGAAATCTTTTTTTTTTTTTTTTGTACCGGGGATCGAACTTGGAACCTTATGCTTTCGAGGCAGGCAATGGCACCACTGAGCTAAATCCCCAGCCCTCAATGAAATCATTTCTTAAGTAGGAAAGTTTATATTGCTATGAAATCAGTAAGACAATATAGCTTTCCAGAAATATAAATGAAAAAAAATAAAATAAAATACACGATATGATTATATTCCAGCTAGATACTGTGACCATGGAGGGTTCTCCACCGGAAGTGTGCTCTATAAAGGGAGATTTTGTCGATGTTAGATAGATATTAAATCATATTTGTACCAAATGGACATGTTCTCCTGTATTGAACTGAAAGGGTTGGAAGAGTCGTAATTAACGTTGGGTATGAGAACTATCAAAAACTGTGCCATTGATACAACCAGTGGTTTGCAGCTTGCACTTTGCTAAATATAATGTGCCTACTGTCCTTGGTCTTTTCTACTTTTATCTCTCAGCAAGAGGTATGCTAGGTGGACCAGGAAAGGCCACATTAAGCGGTATAGGTCAGGTGTAAGCAGGGATGAACAGAGATAATTCAGAACTGAACAAATGAGTTCTTGTGTAAAGCCAGGATTTGTAGAACAACCTTCTTGTAGATGTTCTGAGGCACTGTTGTGTTAGTTTTCTATGGTTTCCTAACAAATTATTACAGAGTTGGCAACTGAAGCAACACCCATCCATTCACTCTGTTTTGTAGATCAGAAGTCCTGCTGGGCTCATCAGGGTGTTCTGTTTCGGGATTCCACAAGGTGGGAGCCAGGCTGAGCTGTTATCTGAGTAGACACTTGGTCCAAGCCCACGAAGTTGTTGGCAGTTTTCAGGTAGGACTAAAGTCCCTGGTTTTCTTCTTGGCTGTCTGTCAAGGGTGGTCCCTACAGGTCTGTCTTTGCTCTGATCTGTGCACCAAGTCCCACCTCTGTCCAAAGTTGGGAATGGCAGGAAGAATCATGAGGCTGTGAATTTCTTTGATTCTCTCTCTGCCACTAGTCAGAGAACTTTACTTTTAAAGGGCTCGTGTGATTAAATCAAGATTTTTACATCTGCAAAATCCCTATACAGTATAGATTAGTGTTTGATTGGATAAGTAGGGACAGGAATCTTGGTGGGCCAACTTTAGAATTCTGCCAACCACAGTTGTCCTCCAGGATCCAGCTTGATTGTGCAGAAATGAAATGGAGATCCTTGAGAAGTTTCTTAGGAATTCCGGACAGAATTAAAGTGGACCTTAAACCAAAGTCTGTCTTCTAGGGGATAATGTTACAGCAAGGCTCCAGCGTAAATCACCAATCAAAACAAATACGGAGGTTAACTTTCTATTTATTTTTATGCAAACACAAGCTACTTCACAGTAACCCATAAGTGAATTTTACTTAAAAGTAACAATTTGACAAAAGTATAAAATGTCCAAACCTCTAAATACTGAAGTACTCCTAAACACTAATAGAAGTTTTAAGTTTGTTGTTAGATCTTACACTGAGAACCAGTATTAGAATCAAGTTCTTTTATGCTTTAAAAACTAATTTGTGAATGGAAAATAGTGGCATTTGAGTGCATGAACTACATGCATGCACTCAGGCGCTTCTGTCTGCTTCTGCTTAAAAGCTGGTGCCATCAACAGCTGATTCCCACTTTATTATTCAGAACACAGTCGCTGTAGGAATGCAGAGAGGTTCAAAGATACAACAGGATCCTGAAGCCAAAGTACACTAACTTCATCCTACTGAACGGAGACAGTTGTGTCCCACTGAGATAATGGAGTTCAGACTACAACAAAGTTCAGGCAGGCGGGTGTACAGCAGGCCCTGCTCTGCACTGTGCAGCTTCGCAGCTTCTATGCTGTGCTCCCTCCTGGGAGCTGGGAATTTACCACAAACACAGCCTGGGGGAACAGTGTTAGCAGCTGAGAAACTGCAGAAACAAGCTGCTTCTCAGCGCCTCTCAGATACCATCAGAATGCAAGAAAATAATTAAAATCCTAATTAAGTAGTTTCTCATCTGGCTCATTTGAAAATGCTCCAAAATAGTCAGATTTAAGGCACAGTAAACAGCTGAAGTGTTAAATTTTCTTGTTAGTTAAAACCTTTGTCAGGGGTCAGGCTTACAAAAGGAATGTGAAATAGAGAACTTAGGCAATACCTGCATAATTCAAATGCAACACGATTTTGCTTGTGTTATTTTGTCTCTTAAGTGAAGGCTTATTTTTTCTTTTACTTATTTTTTGTTGTATGGATGCTAATTCATCATTATTTTTAGCATAATATTGTGTAGGAAATCATTTTCATATTATAAACCGTATGGAGAATGTGAACGAGGCGTTGAAAAAAATCCTAAGAATACAATGAGGTTTTAAATAATTACATTTGTTATTTTTTTCTAATTTAGCATTTTTGACTGATAAAATATCATTTATATTTACATTTTATTACTTTGCATTACTTCTATACTGAATAGCTTAAATACAAAATGAAATTTGATCATGGCTTTGTATGTGAGATTATTTTCTTCTTGATAACTTCTCTCAATTATATTTGACTTCTCTGACTGTATGGATCCAATAGGAACCAAACATCATTGTGTTTTCCAGAGGTCAGTTTCTTAGGAGGCATCTGTTAAAAATTCTGACATTAGGGCCAGGGATTTAGCTCAGTGGTTCCTCTGCCTGCCTTGCAAGCTCAAGGTCCCGAGTTCGATCCCTGGTACCAAAAAAAAAAAAAAA